GAGGAGCAGTGAGGAAGGGAGGGAGAGGAGATGCAGGGAGAGGGAGGAGAGAGGAGCAGTGAGGAAGGGAGAGAGAGGGAGGAGATAGGAGCACTGAGGAAGGGAGAGGGAGGAGAGTGGAGCAGTGAGGAAGAGAGGGAGAGAAGATGCAGGGAGATGGAGGAGAGAGGAGCAGTGAGGAAGGGAGGGAGAAGAGATGCAGGGAAAGGGAGGAAAGAGGAGCAGTGAGGAAGGGAGGAAGAGGGAGGAGAGAGGAGCAGTGAGGAAGAGAGGGAGAGGAGATGCAGGGAGAGGGAGGAGGAGCGGGAGAGAGGAAGCCAGGGCCTGAGAGTGAGAGCAGGTCAAGGCTGCGCTTGGGAGAGAGGGGGTGGACAGCAGGGAGAAAACAGGAAAGGCTGAACAATAGCCTGGCCCAGCCCAGCGCCTGCCTCTGTGTAGGGACAGATCGTTTAACACTCGCCCCAGCATGGCACCAGTGCCGAGAGGCCCACCTTCCTCATGAGCCAGCACTTACCCCTGCCGTCTTCACGCCAGAGTCACAAAGCTGCACAGCGCCTGCCGACACACCAGCACTGGGGCTTCTTTCGGTAAGAGCATCTCTAACACCTCCGGAAGAACATCTGCACATCTGGTATGATTTTAAGAAAGATGACATCAGACACAGAGAGCGAGAACTCCGATAACTGGAACTGAGCGTTTGAGAAAGATTTTACTGATGAGGACTACTGCTGTAGCGGAATATTGGCAGAGACTTAGTCCAGACTACAGGGAGAAAGCCCCAAGCAGCGGAGGAGGTGTTCAAGCTGCTATACAGGAGAGCAGAACGGTACTGGATACTGCACTGACAACACTGTAACACAGAGGTGCTGTGACCTCCAGGCAAGGAAACGATACGCTAGGGAGGGCAGGGCCTGCAGCCTCCAGACCGAGGGGTAACACAGGCTGGCATTGGCGTGACAGAGGAAGAGAGCGTGAGGATGGCGTCTCCCCAGGCCTGAAGGTCCCGCTGCCCAGACACGCCTGTTTCATCGCCCCCCCCCCCCGGCACCGTTCCCAATCTCTGCCCGTGCGGGGGGGTCTGCGGAACGCGCCCCCGCTGCCTGCACCAAGCCTCCAGCCGCCAGAGATCGACAGGTGGGTCCGAGGGCTGGGGACCGAGAGAGTCAGACAGGCGAGTCGATGGCAGATATTGTGAGCGACTGTGAGCCAGGCTGAGAGAGACGAGTGCGGAGAAAGGGAGAGTGAACACTAGGAAACATTAAGAAGGCCGGTGCTGCAGACATGGATGGGCATGATACTTGATACAGAATAGAAGAGTCTGCGGAGAGCTCCCATCGCCTGTTCTGTGCCTGGTCTCTGCAGACAGATACAGAGCCATACAGGAGAAATAGATGGACAGACGCTATGAAATAGGGTGGCACAGTGGCAGAGTTGTTACCATAGCAGCTTTGTAGCCCTAGGGCCCTGGGTTCTGCTCCAGACCTAGGGTGCTGTCTGTGCGGAGTTTGCATGTTCTCCCCATTTCCTCCAGGTGCTCTAGTTTTCTCCCACAGTCCAAAGACATACTGGTAGACAGTAGTTCAGATGGGTAGCTGCGTCAGCATGCGTAGGCTGCAAAGGAACAAGTAATAGGTTTATTCCATGCTGAAAAAAAGAAGAGAGAGGCCATGGAGCCTTCTTCAGGTGTCTGAAGAACTGATACTGGTAGACATACTGGCTTCTGGAGATACTGGCCCTGCTTTGAGTGTGGGTGTATTTGTTTCTGTGTTACCTGTGATAGCTTTGCGCTCGTTGCTTTCTGGTATAGGCTCCAGCTCCCCCACAACCCTGAAATGGATAAAGTGGTAAGAAAATGGATGGATACGAGGAATTATAGAAATTTATATTATTTAGCTCTTGCTGTTTCACAATGCTGAGGAGGGTAGAACTGTCTGAACAGACTTTTGTGTATTATCCTGTTTTGTACCCCCTGGGGATAAACGGTTCAGCGATTGCATTTCTGTTTGAATTAGTAATGTTGTACTCACTCCGTGTGTCACTCACTTGC